TGGTGGAGGTTTTCTTGGTGGTGGGGGAGGAGGAGTTCTTGGTGGTGGTGGTGGAGGTGTTCTTGGCAGTGGCGGTGGAGGTGTTCTTGGTGGTGGTGGTGGAGGTGTTCTTGGTGGTGGTGGAGGAGGAGTTCTTGGTGGTGGTGGTGGCGGTGTTCTTGGTGGTGGTGGTGGAGGAGATGTTGGTGGTGGTGGAGGAGGTGTCGTTGGTGGTGGTGGTGGAGGTGTTCTTGGTGGGGGTGGTGGTGGTCTTCTAGGTGGTGGTGGTGGTGGTTTTCTAGGTGGTGGTGGAGGTGGAGAACTTGGTGGTGGTGGAGGTGAACAAGCATTTGGAGTAAAATAATAAGGTCCACAAGTGAACTTATTATTTCCATTATTGGTGCATGTGCTTAAGGATTGGCCACTTGATCCACCATTTATGTCTGTTAAGAAAGAACACCCCCGGGGTGCTCTACTTGGATCCACACTCACTCGACAACTCCCAATATCTGTTCCAGTCTTCACTAATTCAAAGATATCAAAGTATCCTCTACTATTTGTAAATGATGAATGACTGTCTCCTGGACAAACCAGGTTTACCTTGGCATCTGAAAGATTTAACAAGATTAGAAAATTACAAAAGATAGATAATTTTTCTTACTGAAGATGCCATTCTGAGAGAGTGAACCACAGTTAGTGCAATAAACATAGCCATCCACTTTGATACTTGTAGTGGCAGCACAAAAATTCTCATTTTTCAGAATGACTGCAAGTAATAAAATTAAATAGAGATATTTTTTGTTTTCCATACTTACATGGTAATATGAGGTAAAAGAACGCCCTTTTATAATCTGCACTGCATTAAGTCAAACATCTAAGGTACAACTAATCAGTTGCTAGACCTTTTTCAAACCCAAATATTCTGATTTATGTGATCTCATATTTTCTCCTTTTTCTATACTAATGATCTTAAAACTTATAGATAATAATAATAATAATAATAAGACTCAAGAATCTCAGTATATTTGTTTAGAAACTTTGCATCTAATATTGGTTCAAATAAATTAGCACAACTATTGGATTAAACTGGTAGTTAACACCTAGATTAAGAAAGAATATTCTTAAAATTGAGTGCCTGACTGAGCTACATGGTGTCACACCATGCTTGGAGTTTAGGAAAGCACACCTTGTTCCTTAATACAGATCAGGCTTTACTGCATACAAGTTATCTAGATGCCCATCCTTATGCTGCATGGGCATCTGGATAGGTGGTACATGTGTTAACATCAAGCATCCCACCTAGATCTCTATGACGTTACTGTTTGGTGTTGGACCCCAATTTTCCCAAGGTAAAAGTCTTTTGTGCAATCTATGTGTCAGCTGTAAATCTCCTTTTAACCTTTAACCTTTATACTTTTGAATTATGGTCCAAAAGAATATTCTTAAAATAACCTTTATTTTTGTTCGTTTTCAAGGTCATCAGGGTCAAAGGAAATAATATATTAAAGAAGATCACTCACCTTGGTGCAACAAGGCTGCCAAGCAATGGTTTCTTCATCTTCCATCACCCACACTTTCTTGCAATGCTTAAGAAAGTAGGTGTCTGTAGCAGCCAGATCACTATTGTGTCCTTGGATGCTTTTATGGAAATAGTGTGGATTTCCACACCAAAAATGTTGCAATTGTTCAAGTTTGGTCAACACCTCTTAGTCTAGTTATTTTCAACAGCTAGATCATATTCTATTTAGCAGTCTATAAAAGCTTGATGCCACTGACATGGTTGTGGAGAACTTCCAGGAAGAAAAGAATTTCTGTCTTTGTCACTTTTGAAGGGCTTAATACCTTCAATATAGAATTGAGCCCAGCAATAGCAAGCTGGCTACACGGGTGAGCTAAGTTAAGCTTGGGTTTGGCTTAAGATCACATATCCTTAACCAAAACTAAGATAACGAAAAAATGATAGCCAAAACATTAAGATCACAAACACCTATATTTTATGTTATTCCATTTACTTTGTTCTATTTGAGATGTGAATGAAATACCACCAAAATAAATGCTCACTTCTCACTATAGTCCCTTTATAAATTGCAATGGTGAATTAAAATGATTTCACTTGGTATAAATTATACCATCATAATCTACTTAATATTTTTATCTAATTATTTTATTCAAAAACTTAATATTAAATAACCAAACTAAGGGTTAAAGCGATCATTCTCTCTCGCCAGCTTCTGGAAATGGCGGCGGCGGCGCCTCCGCTTTGCCCTCCAGGATCTGCACCACGCAGCTCATCACTGGCCTGGATGCTGGATCCTGGTGGATGCACCACAGCGGGATCTTGAGTGCCACTTGCCTGGTTTGGATCGGCAATGCTCTCCAGCTCCGAGGTCATGTACTTGTCGAAGGCGTAGATCAGGAAATACCACTCACCAGGCGGCGGCAGTGGCGCATTCTTGCATTCCTTGTCTCCGCCGCCCAGCTCCATGAGGGCCTTCCTCTTGCCACTCAAGATATCCAGCAGGAGCATCCCAATGCTATAGACATCGGCCTTGGGGGCGATGGATTGGCTCTCGAGCCACTCTGGAGCGAGGTATTCCCTGGTTCCTTGCACGGTGGTGATGCTCATCTATTCTTTTCTCATCATCCTCGCCAACCCAAAGTCGGACACCTTTGGCCAGAGCTCTCGTCTAGCAGCACGTTTTGTGGCTTGATATCGCAGTGGACGATGCGCTCGCCACACTTCTCATGGAGGTATGTCAATCCTTTGGCAATCCCCAGCGCGATTGAGTGTTGTGTCTCCCAGGTTGAGAAGATCTCTTGCGAGGCGGCGAATGAGGACGAGGTGGTCGAGAGAACCGTTTGGCATGAACTGGTAGACGAGGAGGTGGCGGTCTCCCTCGGTGCAGTAGCCGAGGAGGCGGAGCCAAGTTGACGTGGTGTACTCTTCCAATCGTGCTCACCTCGGCCTTGATTGCTTCTCAGCCTGGTTCACGGTGGTGATGTTCTTCATGGCCATGTTTCCTCTATACACGCTCCTGAATCCTCCCGAGCCTAACTCTTCGAGCGACTTGATGGTCGAGTCGAAGTTGTAATCGTTGAAGTAGTAGTCTGCTCGATTCACCTGGACGAGCTTCACCGAGATTGGGGAGTTTTGACAAGCTCCCAGAGGTATGTCATAGTCACATCCCTTCGATTCATCGTTTGGATCAACTCGGTGAAATCCAGGAAGACAGCTGCAAGTTTTTGTGGGCCTGTAGGTGCAGAGAGCGAAAGGTCAAGGTCCACATGTTCCAAAGATGTCGAGCATGGCGGCCCTCCAGACGACGCTCCAGGAGCCACTCTTGTTCTTCGGGCCGAAGTTGTAGATCCTGAGATTGCCATCATCGTCCAGCATAAGTTTCCTCAACACATTCGCATCGTCATAGTCAAGCGCGTAGTCTTGTGAACTCATTGATCCTGATGCCCAGCTCTTTCCAGTTGCGTCGTAAAAGGAAAGGACGCTCAAGTTCAAGACGGCCGGGAACTTGAGAGAACGATCAGGCTGGCAAGCGTTGTTGTTCAAGACGTGCTCTCCGGTTTCGTCATCCAGGCAAGTCATGGTGGAGTTCAGTGTCGGATTTGCAATAGACCAGTATTTTTGCGGGATCTCCAGCTTTAAGTTCTTGAGCAGCACCTGACCACTGTTGAGAACAAGCTGGTATGCTCCAGACTGGGAAATCAACCTCGTGTATCCCAAGGACGGATTTCCTTGTGTGCGGAGCTGCTGCTCGGGCAAAAGGTTGTTCGTTGGAGAGTCGAAGCTCTGCCATGCAACTTTCTTGTCTTTTCCAAGGACAACTAAGTTCCCGTTCTCGAGCAGCGAAGCACTTTCAGCACAACACTGTCCGGGATTGGTTTGCCACAAGGGGACGGAGCTGCTGCCATCAGTGACGGAAAGTCCCCCCTCGGCTTTCAACTCAAGCTTGGCATTTTCACTCACCTGGACAAGCTGCCCGTTTGCCATTGCCATCCAGACGACAGTCTTCTTCGGATCTATATCATACCAGATCGCGAGATTGAAGTTCCGGGTGCTTGAAGACTCAGGCATTACGAATCCAAATCCAAAGGTTCCTTCAGGTGATCTCCAAGGGCTTCCTGTTGTGACAGTGCTTCCGCGCAAGAAGTCGGCCAGGACTCTGCTGTAGTAAGTCGAAGAGAGCAGCAGCATGAGAGTAAGTAGCTTCATGAATGTTGTTTCTGACATGCATTCTCCAAGCTTGCTCTCACTAAGTTTTTCTTCATTTTTGCAGTTCTGTCGTTTTAAGCTATGTGATTATTTCGTTGGAGTTACGTTCCTAGATTGAATTGATCACAGCCCAAGTCAATTGCTGCAAAAGTCATCTACTTTCAGGTTAACTTTGCTAAGGATACTCTTTCTAAGGATACTACTATTATGTTAGAAACACAACAAGTTCTTGTGAGGTATGATCACTTTTTTTCAATTTTTTTAATGCCATGAATTCATAGCAAAAATCAGAAGGATATGAAAAATCATGGAGGATATCTTGTAGTTGACATTGACCAAGTCAAAATCAAATAGCTTTCAAAATTCACTTTTTTCTAACTATTGAGTTTCTGCTTTGTTCACCAGTGGTATACTTGGTTCTTTTCGAGGTTGCACCTCATCCACCTTGGCAACATCTCATGTGGAACATAACACTGAAAAAATAATTTGAGGAAGAAAACCAACTTACTGTCGATTGTGCGAGACCTTGCAAATTCCCTCTTGAACTTGTTTTCCTTGTGATACTTAAGAGGCTGTTGGAACAAATCCAAGAATGGCCCTATTGTGTTCCTAACCTTCTCAAATCCCAAAGCTATCCAGTCATCCATTATGTTCTTTATATATGGACAATGATAAGAGTTCTAGCACCCATTTATACACAGCTCAAGTGTTTAGTAAATTTCACTCAAGCAAGTGAAATAATGCTTATTAAATATTAATCTCAAAACCTAGTATTGATACCTTGTGATAATTGTGAAGGTAAACTCAACTCAATTGGCAATATTAGATCATAACCATTGAAGCACTAGTGGAACTCTATACCCCTATAATATATGCAAGATTCAGACCTTTAAAGGGATGATTATGAAGTATATAAACTTTCATTATTCAGATTAGGATGGTTATTTGTGGTGAACCATTCCATAAAACCATATGTCTATGGATGATAAACACTCATAAAAGTGTGATGTATCTCTAATCGAGACATTAAAACATAAAATGCCTCAATTATAAATATAAGATTATTATTTGAGCTCTAAATAGAAATATTAGAATACCACTTGATTGAGGAAGAAGTACTCAACAATAGTAGCAAAAGAATCAACTTCCATCCAACAAGTCAAGTAGTTGGAGTCAATAATAATATACTTATTGCAAGTAGTTGACTATGGAAAATGTCCCATCAGATCAAATAATATGCAAGGTTTATTAAACAAAATGTAATATTTTAGTTATTTCATTGATCATTTTTCTAATCATGCTACACTATTGTGAACATTGCTGAAGTCATTAACATCATTTTTCATATAGTATATAGATTGTGAATAGACATTTATAGATCTTAAAGGGTTGTTGATAACTCTTTTAGTATTGGTGTATCCTGAATACACTCAACCTTTTATTTTTTGCATAAATACTTTTAATATCAGTTTTGAAATTGTGTTGATGCAAAAAAGCCTAAGTGTGTCTAGTTAGTGCCATCCCATAATATACATTAGCTGTATATTATAACCAACAAAAGTGAATTATTCCATATGAGTGTTTAGTAACCTTTATGGGTTTTGAGAAGCTTCATGCATAGTTTTATGGTTCTCAAATATTATTAGAAGGTGATCATATTGTGATTACTTCATTATTATAGTGGAAGAACTTGGTTGATAGTATTATTCAGTGGGCTCTAAAGTTTTAGATATATGATTTCAAGGTTGTTCATTATTCAGGGAGTTCTATAACTAATACTGATGCCTTTTCTTAAGTTATTCTCCTTTCATCACTCTCTTCTTTTGGTTTTGATGAGCCTATTATTCTAGTATCAATGGATTTCTTAAACAAGGATTTTATGTCTAACAATTGCTGTATATGATGTTTAGTGTTTTTTTTAAGGTGCAGAACAATATTTACTTTCCCTTGATAAGGTTTGTAAAGCTCAAAAGATTAAGCATCTTTATATTTGAATAAAACTAAGTTAGATGACTTCCCAGGAAGTCCAAATTTAAGAGTTTACATTTGGTATTAAAGAGGTATCAAGTTTGACTTTGTTAATTAGGTTAGGGGAATTATGTTGAGATTAACATGTGGCAAGTTTAGTTTGCCTTTAGCTATAGCTCTTAACTTCCATTCACAAGGGCATGAACTTGCAAGGAAGGGTGGTGAATTAATGATCCATAAGGGATCAAATAAGTGGGCATTATTTTTTCTAATCAATTAAGGGTCTTGGAGCATGGACCATATTTGAGCTCACGAGTTGAAGAGTTGAGCTTAATTTTTAATTGTAATTTAATACAAACATTAAAATATTAAGGTTATGGCAAATCTAATAATTTCATAACTCTCTACACATTATATAGATAAAAATGTTTTAAAGGACAAATCTTGTTCTAGCAATTTAAATATTAATTATATGCTATGTTTTTTAGAATATAAAATAAGATATTTCTAGAAAAAGTATTCTTGTCACTTCCTCTTAAATCTGTACTTTGTGTTTTCTAGCTAGTAAATATCAAGTTTTTCAGACTTTAAAAATTATTAAATTTGAAATAAGATTCTATATAAGTCTATATAACTATTTGAAAGGAAAAAAATAACCATTGATATAATCTTGTTACATATAAAAGAGAGACTTGGTTCTTCTCTAGAATACATTCTTGAGGGGTTTGTCATAATATAGTATTTAGAATTTATGGATCTTCATTTGCACTTTTATTCGAAGAAAGAGAAGTACAAATGTTTATGGGTTTTAATGTTGGTAATTTTAACTTTTGCAATATTTCTTCCCAAAGTAGTAATTCAAGGGCTAGAAGCTGTAATAATCATCTCATTGCATAACACAACCAAAAAATAAAAAAGAAAAAAAACGAAGAGGATAGTAAAGATAGTGATCACGAGTTAGAGATAAATGCAATGACAAAGGGTGCAACAAATTAAGTGAAAAAAATTATTTTTTTATTTGTTTAAAAAAATTGCAACTCTGTGACTTTCAAGAAATGTCTTATATGTTTTTTGGTTCCAATGGAAACAATGGCAATGATCAATATGATGCAACGCATTGCAATATCATGCACTCAAAGACTACTATAAAATATTTTTTAGGATGGTAAAAACAAAAATTGAGACACATAAGTACTATGGGTAGTATTGCAAAAGAACACTTACAAGTATATGAAATGAAAAGTGAAATGAAAAATTATTTTTTAATTAATTATATAAAGGATAATAAGTTTATATTATTGATAGAGAATAAACATCAATAGTCTTGGAAACTCTAGTTAACTCCAAAAGTCTTCTGCAACTTAGCAATAGTAATGCTTGGTGTATATAAATATCCACTGTAATGTTGATGAAAATGTAGTACATATGTTTGCAAGGAGTATATGCCTTCCTATGTTCCTTGCATTTTATAAAGTCTGGACATGTGCAAGAAAGTCGCTCTTGAATGATGATTGTATACTTTTCATTTTCTATTTGACTATATACTCCTTTACAAGCATAGTGATGTACTTCATTGAGACAATCTCACATTCAAGCATTTAAGCCAAACTTATTTTACCCTACTTTTGCTTGGAGATGGTATTAATAAATTTAATTGCTTTACCTTTTTCTGCTAGCCTCTTGTGCATCTTTGTGTGAACAATTCTGGTTCTCTCACTCATGTCTTCAACTCTCTTCTCAAAATTGAAATTAAATTTCTCAAGGTTTTCAATCTTATCTGAGGAGAGCACAACCTCATTAGCAACTGGCCATTCTTTAAATACTATATCAGGTTTAGTCATTATAGTTTCTTCAAGCCACTTTGTATAGTTTGCATCAGTGTTGCAACAATATAGCCAACACCATCTTGAAATTTTTGCTTGCTTTTATTCCTTATGGAAACATGGGACTAGAATAGAAGCAGACTTATCACCATGGATCTAGGCCCAATATTTGCCCCTTAGAAGCATCTTTAAACATTTTACATTTAATTTTTCTAGCACTCGACAGATTGCCCATTGTTTTGGCTCTATTTTATGGTAAGTGATTTTCAAACTATTAAGATGCACTCTCTTCATCAATTACTAGAGGTGATTTAGTCTAGGGGTAGTGTTTTTAAGCAAAATGGTACTCAACATCAAGCCTATGAGAGCTTTTCACTCCAACATTTGTGCCAACTTCTTCACTAGCAAAGGAAAAATGATGTTTTGAATAAACAGCCTTTATATCACCAATAGAAGTCTGGGGAATATACTCCATAGATGTGTTGCAAACCACTTCCTCCACTGCAGTTGCCATTGTTCGTGTTGGTGGAATCACTTTCTTCTTCATCCGATCATGTGACATCTCAATTGAAGGTTTTGTTCTCATATATCTTCCTTGCTCAAATGCCAAGACTTTTGAAAATTACTTTATAGTGCATATCAAATTCAATAGACGGGCTTTGTATAAACTCATTTTCCCTTTCTGTGCCTTAGAGGAACACTAGTTCTAATGTTTACTCTTTGAGAGATTCATAGTTGGGGTGTATGCAAGATCCTCAAGTGGTTAATTCTAATGAAAAAGACGATATTAAAAGGCAATAAAATGAGAAAAAAAAAAACCAACTTGAAGAGAGTGATGTCCCTATTGGAACATCTTAACTTCCTACCACCCTAACCACGATTTAAATTGTGGGAGATAACTTACGTCTGTATGGCCATCTTCATGCCACCACATTTGAATCTTATTTGTTTTTGCCTCATGCTCTTCTTCAAAAAGTGCAACTTACCATTGTTTGCACAACTCTTTAAACACTAATTGGAAATTTGGCTTGATAAAGTGGCAGTATTAGTTTAGGCTCTAAGCCCAATGGAACTCACAAGTCCTATCACGACCTTTTAGGGTTGACCATTCCCAAAGACTATCTGGACTCCATTCTAATTAGCCCTAAGCCTTATTTGCCATGAAACCGCAAAAGTTGGCAAGCTTATTAGTCCGTTTTAGTACAATGTTAGAGAGGGACTTCCAAAATATTTTTTGGGCCATCTAGTTTTGTACTTCAAACTCTATTATTGTAATTGTCAAGTTGTAGTCTATGAAAATGGTAATGTTTAAAACCATTTTAAGACAATGAGAAAAAATAACTACCTTAGATCATATACATGAGCTCCCATGGTTATCCCCCTCTATATGGTCAAAATATACCCATGCATTAGCAAGGCCACTTAACCCAGATATATCCATTTGAGAAACAAGATCTATATTAGAGGTGAGGCTTATGGTAGACATTTTGAAGACGAAGGGGCACTTTTACTCAATAACGACTTGATCTGAAAATAAATTCTTATGGATAAACTCATATAGACAAGTCCATTTTAATTCAAGGATAGAGTCAATTTTTTATTGGAGTTTCCCCTCTCGAGATTCACACATTTAAGATTTTACCCTAAATAAAACAAAATGTAAAAGAGATACTATTAAAAAGTATGTAATATTATTTTCTTACCTCCTTAGGCTAATTGCAAGTTGCATGTATCATAATAACTCCCACAAGCTAACTTCATCCAATTGAGTCTTCTCGCAACCTGGATTGAGTAGGGTGCTTATGATAAAATCCTTAGCACTAACTTTTGAATATATTTTGAAGTTGCAGATGAGTTTTTCATAGTCTTTATTTATATTGCATCTTTGAAACAATTGACTAAACTCTTTTATATGGGGCTGGGTAGTTTTTGAGCTGAGCTCAAGTTAATGAAAGTCAACAAAAGTCAAAGGAAGTCAATACAATCCCCTAACTAGCGAAAGTTTAATGGCACTACCTTAGTTCGTCCCGAACCAAGAATTTTTAACATAAAATCTAGGTGTTTAAAGTATTCCATAAGCTCATGTAGATTATTGGTTCGACACGAATTAATCTTTTAGTCTACAAAGAAAGAAAATAATATATTAAACAACATAATTTATATTAAAATCAGAATATATCCAATCTTCTTCTACTTCTATATCCAGAAAAGTAGAAATGGGTATAGTGGAATGCTCCTTCACTATAGGCTCATGTTGTATGTAATGTTGTGCCATACATTCAGCATAAATATGTAAGTGGAATTGACTTCGGTCCATATGATCATCCATATCATCAAGATCAAGCGTATGGACTGAAACACTGTGTGTGATAAGTCTAAACCTAATGACATAGAAACATTTGAGAATAAATATTATAGATTATTTCAAGCACTAACATCACCTGTTGCAAAATCTCATAAGAATGTCCTCAAAGGCACCCTCCTTCTCAAGTGCAAAAACAGCTTGGCTTGTCTCTTTCGCTGCCTGCACCATTGATCCAAATCCTGCTATAGCATCAAGCACAATCCCCTTTGGCGGACAGAATAACTCCAACAAGATTTGTATGGCCATGACCAAACAATGTCAATAACCAGGGAACGTTGGGTGAAGAATGTTCGAGTCAATCACATTTGGGATGATGTTTGTAGAGTTGTCATATCCTGGTAAAGCAAGAGCAACACGCTCATCAACTAGTGTGGCATTATGCTAGTTCCCAATGTGGCATAGAGCATGGTAGTTCCAGGAATAAATCTGGAAAAAATTAGAATAGAGTTAATTTATAAATGAAGAAGACACACACCTTTCACTTCTGCCCACTAGTGCCTTTTATGTCCACCGCCATACTCGAAAGAAGGCAGCCAAATGAAAACTCAACAAATCCATCATCGTTGTCAGCCAAGTGTGTGAGAAAGCCTTCCCACATTAGAGAGCGGGGAAGGATCATGATAACCACACCCTCGTATGTCATGAAGCTGCTCACAACCTTTAAGGCTTGGGAAATGTGTTGGGCCTGCAACACATTCCATGACGGAGTATCCCCCTACGATGGTTGCATTCCATCGGGAAGATCGAAAAAGATGAAATTAATCTTCCCATAAGGTGTGAGCTGACCCAGACCATGGATCCACCAATCAAGCATGTAGAGCTCCTGATTAGTAGCATCTAAAAGCTGTGTGTAATCCCCAATGAGAACAACAACTTCCCCAACACTGCCCGTTGGGGATAGAGGGCGAACCTAAAATTCAATTATTAGAACTAAAAGTTGGAGATAAAATTCATGCTTACTAACCTGTTTATGCATAGTTGTAGAGGAGAGCTCTTCTAGGTTGTCATTTGTAGCCATAGGGAGGGATGGGAAGAATATCTTAGTCCACTGAGAAGATTGATGGCTGCTCTTTGCAACATCTATAAAAAAAAGTGAAGTCAAGAATGAATAAAAGAATGTTCCAAATCAAAGTCCTTACTCTCATGAAAGGCTTTATGATGGCCCCTTCGGGGGTTGCGAGGAGTAGGGACTGGAATCTCTTATGCTGGAATTTCCTGTACAGTTTCCTCTAGTTTAATGGTATTTGGATTTGGCATTTTCTGAATGGTTTCTTAAGTGTCTGGGTTTAGTTGTTGAACTTCAACAACGTCGTTATCATAGTCAAAAAGAGCCTCTGGAAAATAAGAATATAACTCAAGGTTAATATTTCCTAGCCAAGTGCTGAGTTTCAAGTGAACCTAGATGACATTCAAGGTAGAGATTTAGCTCAAAGTCCGATGTCAGCATCTGCTCCACGAGTTCAAGGTACTACGGGCATAGCTCCCTCTCATGTGTACAAGGACAGTAGAACTCTGGCTCATACATCCCAAGCTTCTTGCCTCTAGTCAGGAGCTTCTGCAAAACACCGGTTGTGTATACCGGTATGCCGGGGCAATATTTTAAATATCTACAAAGTAAAACAAAAATATAAATACCAATATATAAATGAGAATTGAGAAAATATCTATAAATCATGTGCCTCGCAAGAAATGGTTGTCCTAGTTGATTCTTGAACTCAGCCGAACTCGTCCCACCACATGGAAGCCAACCATTCCCTAGCTCCGCAAGACAAGCACGAATATATTCTTTGAGAGTGATACCTGTGCAGGTGCTGGAAAGAAACTTCTTGTCCCAAACTTGTAGCATCTCCTCATCAGCGGCAATACTCTAAGAAATGTATGCCTTCTCCTTCATCACCTTCTCCATCTTTATCTCGCAGCGTTTTTTGTTGTTTCACAGCCAAGTGTTGAGAAGTTCCAAGTAGACACTTTGTTCAACAAAGGACATTTTACTCTTGGAGATGTTGTAAATGAGTTCCTTCGGTGCTTTATCAGTTCCTACACACACAAAGAGTTATGAAATGTTTCAGAAATTTTAGAAGAACTTACAAACACAAGAACAAATCTCTGCAATGCTATCAAGCCATTCCTGCCCGCGTCATATGTCTGCAATCGAGAGCAACTTTTTCACCTTTATTCTCTTTGTATTCAAAATTCACTACTCAATCGTATACCACTCCATCTTCTTCTGCTGCTCGTCCCCTCGGGCATTTTTAAAGAATGACACTCTTTCTCCTTTGATTATGGGCTGTAAGAAACATTATGTAAGTTGATACATACTTCAATACTAATTTACTTTCGCCCAGACAGCAACTAGAAAATCAAGTGGTAGCTGGTACCAAGTTTACAATTTTTGGCCTTTCCTAGCTGCTAGCTTCACTTGAATTGCTTCAAATACCTCACGATTGTACAATGTTTGGACCTCCTCTAGCGAGAGTATACCGATAAACCAAAGGTGCTCAATGTCATGTACCAATGTATGAGCTTGAAACACAAATTGGTTTAGCCTGCAAAAACACAATATTGGCTAAGTTTACAAAAAATAAATTCTTACATGTTGATCTTATGGCATGCCATGTTGAACTTCACAGTGTGCTCCCGAGTCATTAGTTCCACAAATGTGACTGGAACACTAATATATTGTTCTTCGTCATCTTGGAACTTCTCTTGAATGCATTTCCAAAATGCCAACCACCTATGGTTTCCATCGATCACCCAAAAGAGCTTTCCAATGAACCTTGTTGTCTCCACATGTTGTCATAAGAATCCATCAAACTCACGAGACTTTCGCAACCATATAGGATCCCATTTATCCTCAAGTTCAGTAGTCACTAACTGTGAGACACAAAATCCCTAGGCCCCAAAGTGGAGCTGAAAGGGTGCCACATGGTAGTGGCCGAAGCGAAAGCCAAACGAGCGTAACACGTTTGGACTAAAAGCTCCGACTTGAAAAGGTCAAGAGTGGGAGTGGAACTCCCAACAAAGGGCTTGAGGAACGAGCACAAAGCGAGCAATAAGCGAGACTCCAAAAAGGGACCCGAAATGGACCCGAGATGGACCCGAGGTGGAGTCCGAGATGGAGTCCGAGATGGAGTCCGAGATGGAGTCCGAGATGGAGTCCGAGATGGACCCAAGATGGAGTCCGAGATGGAGTCCGAGATGGACCCGAGATGGAGTCTGAGATGGACCCAAGATGGAGTCTGAGATGGAGTCCGAGATGGACCCGAGATGGAGTCCGAGATGGACTCGAGATGGAGTCCGAGATGGACCCAAGATGGAGTCCGAGATGGACCCGAGATGGAGTCCGAAGTCGAGACCGGGACCGAGACCGAGACCGAGTCCGAGATCGGGACCGAGACCGAGACCGAGATCGGGATCGAGACCGAGACCGAGACCGAGGTTGAGGCCGAGACCGAGACCGAGACCGAGGCCGAGGCCGAGACCGAGCCCGAGTCCAAGTCCAAGTCCGAGCCCGAGTCCGAGTCTGAGAGGGTGAAAGCCCAAAGTGTTCGTCTCCCAGACCCTAGGGGGTTTGGTGAGCTCCAAAAGTATAGTAGGGGGAGGACTGCAGTGGAGCCAGTTTGGCCAGGAAAGGCCAGTTTGGCCCAGGAAGGCCAGACCCAGTGTTGGGTGATGAGCTGCCCACTGGGAAGTCCAAGACTAGAGTGAACACAGACCGACAAGCGGGGTAGCTTGGTGAAGTGTTCAAGAGCTGGCTCTAGTTCCCCCGGGAGATCGACTGGCCAATGCTCCCAGTCCAAGTGTGGGTGGCACTACCTACTTGGATACCTGTCGTGGCTCAATGGAACCTCGCTCTAAGCCCATGGCTAGAGCACCAAAAGGCAAAAGGCGGGGAGAGTACCCATGAGGCTTGGGTAAGGCCACGGTGTTCTGAAATGTTGTCCCAAAGTCCCAAACGGTGAAAGGGAAGAGGAGTAGGCCTCTAATGCAGTGACCAAGGATATGGTCACATGGTGAGGAAGTCCCAAAGGATAGTGGGACTTAGTGGTCAGGCCTGCGGGCCTTGATCTAGTGGCAGTGTTGGCGAACACAGCCAGAGACTAAAAGGGAGTGGTTAATCTCCACTCAATCGGAGGTGCGGTTAAGTGACTAAAGCGATTAATCTCCACTCAATCGGCCAAACCCATAGTGATCAAGGCAGCTGCCTTTTCCTGAAGACCAAGACCATTGAGGCTGGCCTCGGTGCTTCCTCTAAAATAAAAAGCAAAAATATTATAACATCTAACTTGTAATGCAAAGAAAACCTGTGGCATTTTAAGTTCAAGTCCCTTGTTGGAAGTTTCAGGTAGTCAAGCTTGATTTATATCTGCTCTCGCAAGAAAATTTTGTAAGTAAAAGATATCAAAAATAGATTGTAAACTATAAGAAAAGCAAAGGAATAAAACACAAGTATAGCACATGTGGTTTTGACCTTTATCCTATGGTGTTTTACCAGAGGATAACACCACGAAGCGGAACCTAAACCTTCTTTATGCCACGTGACATATGCCATGTGTCATATGCCACATGTCCAAAGGACAGTGGTGCGGAACCCAAGGTTCAGGGCCTTGGGCCACTGAATGAAGGAACGGTGCCAAACTCCCAAGTGTGGTGCCTTGGGGTGTTGGTCATGGGACCGAACACATGGAGCACTTAGACCAAGTGCAAAGGTTAAGTGGCATGGATGCCATTCTCGGGGCTAGCAAACCCCAAGTCCTGAGTGGGACTTATGGAGGTTGTGAATGAGACTCCTCCAAGTGGTCGAAGGTGCGGTTAAGTGACTAAAGTAAAATAGAAAAATTTAGTCTCTTACATGCTGGTCTTGGCATTGGAATGTTGGTTACTCTAGGACTGTTCCAAGTCGCTCTAGGCTCCTGTCCCTTCGCTCCTTGGGCTTTATGCTCGGGAGTTGCTCCGTGGTTCAGTTCCATCACATACCAGCTCGTTACGCTAGGCCATGCCCAATCACCTTAGTCACATCGGTGGTCCAACACCACCTTCATTGCAATCCCGTCTCTCCAAGACTGGGCCATCCATGAGTGGTCATCCCAGATCCACTCCTTAGCATCCTTAGGATGCCCGCAAACATGAGGAATAGCCTTCCCCAATATCTCCTTTCTAGTCCCCACCGAGTCCCTTTTTGCCCTTGGCCGTATTCGCTAACACTGCCACTGGATCAAGGCCCACAAGCCCGACCACTAAGTCCC